TCTCCACAAGGCTGCAGTGAAGATCAGGACTACAGTTATTTCATGCTCTCTTGGAGAAGGGATTCTCTTCCAAGCTTCTCACTGATAGGCCTAGTTTCTGTCCCAGTGTTGGCACAGACATCAGTACCCGCCCGTGTTTGCTTGCATGTACATCAGTTCTCATGGCAACTTGTTTCCCTCAGAGGGAGCTAGAGAGCAGGAAAAACAGTGGGTAAAACAGAAACCATAGCTTTTTCATAACCTAATCTCAGATGCGACTTCCTATCCTTCGTATTCTATTCATTAGAAGTGAGTTCATAAATCCAGCCCACACGCAAGGAAAGAGGATCATTGGAGGATGTGAACACCCCAGAAGCAGGGATCCCTGGGCACATTATCAAGGTTGCCTTCTTAGTCTATTTCCCATTGCTGTAATAAAATACCTGAGACTGGATAGTGTAGAAAGAAAAGACATTTACTCAGCTCACAAGTTTGAAAGCTGAAAGTCTGAGATTAGGCAGTCACATTTGTCCAGACTCTGATGAGGACCTCAAGGTGGAGCCACAGAGGAGATGGCTAGAGAATGTGAGAGGGAGAGCAAAGGGTGAGAGAGAAACTCAAAGAGCAGTCTAGGGGTTGCAGATTTCTCTAAATAACTCACTCTCTGGGGAACTACAAGGGTCCCAGGAGAACTACCTTAAGCCCTTCCAAAGGCAGTGCCACCAGTGGCCTAACTACTGCCCATTAGCTGCCATCCCTTAAAAGTTCTACCACCTCAATGCTACCATCTGCTACTTTGAGGACCAAACCTTCAATGCATGAAACCTTGCAGGATAAATCACATCCAAGCTATATGGCACCTACTCTGTGTATGTATATCTCCGTGTGCATTACACACACCAAAATATATGCACATGTGTGCTTTTATGCATGCATGTATATGTGTGTGTGCATATTTATATTGACTATGTGTGTGATAAGAAAACAATATTCTTGCTCCAGTTAAGAAGACTTCTCTGCAAGTTTAGGAAATTTCTCTGACAATTCTCACCAATACTAAGTTGAAAAAATGTGAGGAGAGAATAGTTCTAATGATTTCACATATTGAAATTCTGGTGCCACTATTTAGAAGACCTTGTTTCAATCTCACAGCATCTTCCCACCTCACATAGCACAAATGGCTGTACCCATCTTCCAGAATATTGCAAGACGACTGGAAGCAACCCATTAAAAACTACAAAAAATAAGTAGGAAGCCTTTTATCCTGGCTTGTGGGGTGTTGTCAATAGTTGGTATTTGGATGTTAAAAACTAAGTGATGAATATGAAAAGTAATTTACCAAAAAAATGCAAATGGCAGTTTAAAAAAAATGCAAGAGTGAGTCATGCTACAGAAGGGAGCTCTGAGCTTAAGAAGCCACCTATTTTATAACAGGCAATAAGGTTGTTTTGCCTTATCTTTATTATAAGGGCTGGAGACATTACTGCTACTACAGTTTTCAGTAAAATCAAAAACAAAATGAAATACTACTCTGAACAAAATGAAAGCTACTCTGGCAGTAGCTTTTCACTGTACAAATCATCCTTGAAAATATAGCCATTAACAAAAGCAATCAGTACCTTTGCTTGTGAGCAGCAATGTGAGAGACTGATTGTCTCCAACATTTCACTGTCATTTGTGCTTTGTAAAAAAAGTGTAGCTGTCAATTAAAATGAGCTATTAGTGTATCTAAACTTATAATGATGAATAAATTGATACTATGAATATTTGATACTATGATCAAATATTATGAAAAGGTACAACTTTATATATAAAATATAAGAATATGCATTGCTTGCAGCTGATATATTGTTCATTCTACTCTCATTCTTTACCATAGAAAATGAGTGTCTATCATTTTATCTAATGAATATTTTTACTCTGTTAGAAAAAGAATATCTAGACTGACTATTGGAATTACTCAAGATGAAGTTAGAACAGGGATTTTTAAAGTTATACAGGTTTAATAACAATCATCATATGCTTCATTTTCCTTCATACATATTGAGTGCAAAATTTTTCTTTAAAAATAATATGTCAACATCTCCACAAGAATCCTTTACCCTGCAAACAATAAACACTACCCTTGTAGGATAGTATAATTAAACAATTGGGTTTTTTATATTTATCACTTTTTATAAAGTGTTTCTTTTTTAACTGAACTTCCAATTGCTTTATTTTACTGTTGAAGAAACTAAGGCCCGGAGATTGTAAGAAATTTGAAACTGGCCAACAACTAGTTAATGTTGGAGCTGAGCCTCAACCCCACAAGTCCTGACTTGGAGCACAAGGCTCTTTCTTCTTATCCAAACCCACAAACGTGATATGATAGAGCTTTCAAACCGGGGTATGCATATCCCTGCAGGCAATGGCATCTCGCCAGGGAGGGAAAGCCACGGGTAAACAGGGTGTCTCGCTTCAGTATAAATATTACTCAAAGATTTGAGGAGAGTCAGAGGAACTTCTTTATTTTTACATTAAAACAAGATTGATTATAAAGGAGAATGCACATATTACATGAATTTTTAAAACTTTAGGCAAGATTCCTCGGGCTATAATCCCACCTGACAATGGTAAAAATTCTCTGTTCATGCTGCTAGAGATAATTCTTTGGTAAAAACTGACCCCACCAGTATGAGGATATCTGTGTAAGAGTTTTAGTCAAGAAGTACCTTTATTAACCTCCATCTTTGGCATTCCCATAGTTCAATTTGCATTATTCATCCTTCATAATCATTAAATGGTGAATTTTTCTTGAAGAGGGGAACACAGTAAGACTTTATAGTAAATAAGTTTTCGACTTGCTTTTTTAAGAAAATGTTTTGTGGTGTGCTTTTAAAAAAATTTATCTTAATATAAGATAAAAAAGTTTAAAATGAACAGAGGACAAATGTATAAAATGTGATTTTAATAGAAACTAACTGGTTAGTAGTGCACCTCTGCAGGATTTCAGTAAACCTATTTTACACATGGTTCAAAACAAAATCACATTTGTGTGATGTACAAGGTGAACAAATAGTATTTCCATTTTTTCAATGCAGCATATTCGTGAATAATATATGAAATGCTATTAGGAATATTAATAGCAAAAATGGAAGACAATTATTTTAAATACTTTCATAGTAGTGCATTCCTTTCACCTGATTTTCTATAATAAAAACTACTTAAATAATAGTTTTCAGATGATTATTTCCTCCTGGATGACTTGGAGGACTCTTACTCCTGCCCCAGGCCCAAATTCTTTTTGTTGTTGTTGTTTTGTTTGTTTGAGACAGGGTTTTGTTATGTAGTTTAGGCCGGCCTTGAACTCACTATGAACTGATGTAGAACCTCCTGCCTCAGCCTGCCCCTAAAGTACTGGGATTACAGACATGTGCCATGACACTGGGCTCCAAATTCCTTTTAAAAGCACTGAAAGAGTGTATTCTTGCATTCTCATCTAAGACATTTACATTACTGTATTTTCAACACCATTTTTTTTCAATGT